GTAAGGCTTTTTCTTAGGTTTTCTAGTTGGGTTGTTGGACTTTTCATTACCATCTTCATTTTCTCTTGAGTTGACTTTAATGTTTTTATTTCTTCATTGCATCCCATTTTCAAATCCTCTATTCTTATTTTCATCAGCCTTATATTTGTTTTCTTTGGCACTGCTCAGGCATTTAGTCTCTTTAAGTTTATTCTCTTTAATTTATTGAGCTGTTTCTTTATGTCTTCTCTAAACTTCTTAAATTATTTGATGAAGTTTATGATTATTCTTTTAAATTCTATATCCTTGGGTTCGTCTAGATAATTCTCATTGGTGAACATTTCTGTAGACTTGGTAGATTTTGAAGCAGGGATGTTGCCTTGAACTTCCATATTGTTTGTATGCTTGCAGTGATGGGGGACTCTTTTGTTAGCTCTGTGTCTGAGATAGACCAAGTAGATCAAGGCTATAATGAAGTCAGGTAGACACAGGAGCTGGCCTGGTATGTAGGATGTGTCCTGTTCCTATCCTGAAATTCGGAGGGTTGATGTGCAGAGGAAGATCCTATGGACCCACCTGACTAAACTCTGGAGAAGGGTGCACAGGACCTACTTGGGTGAGTGAAGACTGTAGATGTGGTCTGGGAGGGGCCTGTAGGTTGTGGGCAGTAAGGGAGGGTTCTGGAGGAAGCTTGGAGAGATTGTATGCTGTGTAGGCAGGGGTGGCCAGACTAGGCTGGTGTACTGGATATGAGATTTGGGCTAGATCTGGGGTTTGAAGAAGGGTACATGAAGGGGAAGCCCAGGCAGACTCACTTGTTATACTCTGGGAAGGATGGATCCTTGGTTTGTTTTTTTTTTTTTTTTTTGGTTTTTTTTTTTTTTGGTTTTTTTTTTTTTTTTTTTTTTTTTTTTTTTAAATCAATAACAAGAGTATCATTGGTCTAAGGTTAAACACACACTCATATTCACTGGTTTGAGTTCCTATCAGAAAGTGTGTGTCTGTGTGTGTCTGTGTGTAAGGTTGCAGTATTTGTGGTTCTGGTAGACTTTTGTTTTAATTAACATAAATGAATACATAAAATCCCCTCCTCAGTAACCCTTTGGTTTGCTTCATTTACTTATGTACTTACTTTTATTGAGGGCTTAACAAAAGTGATTCCATTTTAGTTCTGGTGAGTTTCACGTAATTACTCAGTCTGTTAATGTCTTGATCCATACTAACAGGTTGATATAACCCCAAGTAGCAAACATTGAGTGAAAGACAATTCATAGAATCTAAAGGTTCTTGATTCCTGTACTTCACTCTGGCTTTCTGGGGCTCTAGTGGTGGTGAAGCCATCTATACATGCTTGGCTTCAGGCCCTGTGACCCTGTGGCCCAGAGATACATGTGAGATCCTACAGAGTTAGAGGTATAATGGAATCCCATTTGTCAAAGTAAACTGCTGAATTTGATTCCTTAGAAGCTGGAAAGTGCTGCCATGCATATGTAAAAACCCTGTCTCCATGGGGTAGGACATTAAGCCCAGAGGAAGATCTGCATGTCTCATCTGAGTAATGAGCCATGAAATTGGCATTATAAGTTTTAATTATTATTAATGCCTCTCAGGGTAGCTGGTGTTAATTATTCTGTAGGTTTCCCTAGAAATATTTCTTCCCCTTCCCTTTTATTTCCTTTTCTTAATGCCTTAATGGTAGCTTCCTGGTAGTGTTTGAGCTCAATTCTTCCTAAGGGGGACACCCTCCCTGTGAGAGAAGTTGTCTCTGGAAAGAAAGCAAATGGTTGTGATTGGAACAAAGTCAACAGGAATCTAGGAGTTTGATAGGTTGCCACAGTGAGGTTTGCAAGAGTCTCATCTCTGCTTCCTCCCCAGTGGTACCCACCTTCCTCTAGGTCCAGCCATGAACTAGTTAGTTAACCTTATAATGGGCTTTGAAGATCAAAGACTGTGTAAAGTGCCATAAGTTAGGGCTGAGCATCTTTTAACATGGAGTACCAGTTTCTGTCTCTTCTGCTCCTGGATAACTTCATGTCAACATCATTCTTGTGTGTGTGTGTGTGTGTGTGTGTGTGTGTGTGTGTGTGTGTGTGTGTGTGTTCAGAACTGTGTCTATATTGCTTCCATAGCTTTTGTTCTATGAGGTACTCATAAGAATCGGAAGGGATACAGGAGTGAGCTCTGACCTCTCCTGCTCTCTACCTTTCCCCACTCCTTTCTTCTCACCTACTAACTGCAGCAGAGACACAGGCCTGACTCAGGATTATCCCAAGATCCTTTGAACTAACAGCAAAAAGATGGTATCTACTATTTCTCAGGTTTCCCTCAGGTCCTGGTTGTCAGAATGAATATAGCACAGCCCTGTTAATGCAGCAGACAGGAAACTCCCAGGCATAGGAGCCCAGTACCAGTGCTGTGGATCTAAGAAGGAAAAGAGATGGTGTAGAACTGTCAGATGAGCCCATTGATTTCAGAAGTATATCTCCTCCTTGGGAATTGTCATGTTACCCACCATGGCTAGAAAAGTGTGCATTTGCTCCTGTTCCAAGGAGTTTGGATCCTTTGGCACTGTGAAAGTCACTGGAATCTGCAGGGTAGACTCCAATTTATACCTGTGCAGCCAGCACCCAGAATAGTACATTGAGAACAGAGGAGAGGTAGGTGGGGGAAGATCTAAGAGTATGGCAGGAGAGTAGCAGGCTTTGAGGAGAAAGGCTGGGATTCAGAGAAGGAGGGGCACAGATAGATGGAGTTTGCATGGTTCGAATGAGGAATATAGGTAGCAGCACTAAAAGGGACAGAGAGGGCTTATGGGATGGCTAGAAGATCTGCATTCCAAACAAATGGCTAGACTGATATGAAATTTACTGGTTGGCATGGACATGGAAGTACAGGTAGATCTGAGAGTTGGGGACACACAGAGATAGGCAGAATTGAGCCTATAACAGTGATGAGTAATCCATGGCTTGTATGTGTGTGGGACTGTCATCTATGTAGAGAATCAGTAAAAACCAGAGTTTCCTGAGGCTCAGGACTGATGCCTTTCAGAAAGTGGGTGACCCTGGCCTGGGTGGTGTTCTGCAGTCTAGGCCCTAAAGTCAAGCTGGCTTCTAGGAATTTCCTTCATCCCTGCCACTACATTCCCACCCTCCCAACTAAACTGAGTGATCCAGTACCGTGGTTGTCTATAGTGGATGAGAATGGGACTTCAAATGGTCCCTGTGTCAGCCTATCTCAAGAAAGCCAAGTCCTTTCTGAGCAGGGGAACTGGGGGAGGGCTCCACATTCATGGGCCCTTTGAAGGAGACAGTGATGGTGTGGGTTTGGCATGGTCTGTCCTGCCCATACTGTGATCAGGGTTAGCAGAAGCTTCCAAGGAGCCTCCAAAGCTATGTCTCTAAGATGACCACTTCAAGCACACATGCTTTCAGTGAAAAGATGAGTCCAGTAAAGAGTGCACACAGTGTTAATCTGTGTCAAGGGACATTCCTTTGGGTAGTCAGTAGAGGTGCAGTTTTTGAGCAGAATATGTTATTTTCTTACTGTCACTTGAGACCCCTTTTCTGAGTAAAATTCTAAGTGTTGCCATATAGTCAATAGTGAAAATATTCCTGTCATGACTTGACTTTTAATGTGGTGGCAAGTTGAGTTGAAAAAGGAGAAACATCTTTTTGTAAATTAGCTAGCAGAGTGGGGATAGGTTTTCTAACTTATTGGCATCCTCAGCTTGGTAAATTCCTGGTTATTGGGGAATGTGCTATGAATTGAGGGGTACTTGGCAGCATCCTTGGCTCTGTTCATTAGATGCTACCAGTGTCCCTCCTCATTGTGACAACCCAAAGTATCTTGAGAAAAATTGTCCCTGGTGGAAAAGCTATGGGACTGGGCTTGGCTGGCCATTATATGGCCCCGGAGTTTGTCTGATGGCCCACAGCCAGCCACCTCTTTAGTCTTTTTGAAGCAAAGTATTGGATTGCAAATTGCCTTTCACCTCTACTCTCTAAAGTCTGGGTCTGATAGTCTATTGTACTTAAACCATAAAGCTATCCAGAATGAGTTCTGTAATGAAATGTTCTCTGGTGTTACTATTTAATTGGCTAGTGGGGGTTGTTTGTCAATCTGCCAGCAGGCTTCTCTTAAATGCTGTCATCAGACATCTCTGAGACATAAATGTAGAATGATTGATTTGCAAGGTGCTATTAAACCTTCTACAAAGACTTTTTGATGTACTGCGGCTTTGAGCTTTGTACAGCTATTGATTGATTTAAATACTACAGAACCCTTGGCTCAGGCAGCCCTTATGAGAAGAATACCACTTCTAGTAGGGAATTGCTGGACATTGAGTCACAGACAGTGACAAGGCTTTCCTTGGGCATAAAATGGATCATTAAACAAATGTGGACCACCAGGAAAGAAAAGCAAGAGAACACTTAAGCAGCTGGTCAGAACTTACCAGTCAGGGCCAGTTAGAAAAATGTAGCAAGTGGACAGTAGCATCTGATCAATTTAGTATTGAGAGTCTCCTTGCTGCCATGAGAAAGCAGCCAAAGATTTTGTTTGGGCTTTAACTGTGCTTGCTGTTTGAGACCACAGTAGCAAATGACATTCAGATAAATTGACAAACATTGACAGGATGGCAAAACACTTCCTGACTGTACAAGACCAGGGTTAGATATCTTGGAAGTGTCCTTGCTTCTGGATAGGATTGTTGTGTGAAGTGAAAACGTGTATGGTTTGGGGGATGGGAAGCCTTTGCAGTGCAAAGAAAGCTGGACTGCACTTGGCCCTCAGGTACAGGATTGAGAAGTTTGATAATGTAGGGACCATCATGCTTTTCTGAGGTCAGAGAACTTGTATGTTCCCATGTTAGACTGTTTGTTCCTTTAGAATATTTTCTGGTCTCAGAATGTTGTTTACACATGAGACACACAATGACCAATGAACCCATGCTTTCAAGGACAAATTTTGCAGGTATTAGGAAAGGGCAATTCTGAGTAACCGCCTGCTATTTTCTGTTTCAGAATCTATCCCAGCTTCCCTACGGCAAGGCCCTCTACAGCTATGAGGGAAAAGAACCTGGTGACCTCAAGTTCAACAAAGGGGACATCATCATCCTGCGTCGAAAGGTAGATGAAAACTGGTACCATGGGGAGTTGCAGGGCACTCACGGCTTCCTCCCAGCCAGCTACATCCAGTTTATCAGGCCCTTGCCACAGACTCTGCCCCAAGGCAAAGCTCTTTATGATTTTGAGATGAAGGACAGAGACCAGGACAAAGATTGTCTGACCTTTACTAAGGTAAGGTGAGCCCCATGGTTGGCCTCTTTGTCTACCCATGTCTTCTCAACTCAGGGTCTACATCTAGGTTTAGAGTTTGCTAGGCCATAATCAAATGACCACCCTCCATTCCTGTGCCTCTATGAAAGGTGGAGCAGGGAGGGGGGGCCGGGGGGAGGGATGTGTCTGCTTCATGGGTTTGATTGTTTTGTTATTGATTTTGTTTGTGTGAATAAGAACTCCTAAGAAGAAGCTGTGTCTGCAGAGTGTGGCTGATTAGAAATTCAGGGCCCTGGAGAGATTGGAATGTTTCAGGCCCAGAGGCTAATTACCTTGTCATAGGCTAACATTATCTTGCAACAGCCATTCTTTTGTAAGACTCCTCAGAATGAGGAGTCTCCCAGTTTCAGTCGGTACCCCTAAGAACTCAATGCCCAGTCCAGTTACCACAACACGCAAGAGGCTTTAATGAACAGGAAATGTTTGCACAAACGGGCTCCCTTAGCACACAGGCTAGAGAGAAGCCCCATCCCCCAGGCACAGGTGTTTTTAAAGGCAAAACCCACAAGCTTAGTGAGGGGGTGGGACCTCTGTCCATTGAGTATGTGACCCTTTGAGGCCCTATGGTCTCGCTATTAGAGTCAACAGACCTTAGGTCCTCAGGGTGTGCTAATTAATCTTGTCTGGGCAAACCGGAGGTACAGTTATCTCTTTGTTTCTTAAGGACCCTATTCACCACCTGCTGACTCACAAGAAAGGAGGGGCAGTGTAAATTCTTGGTATCTTGTTATCTCAGGGCCTTGTGAGGGGAAGTTAGCAAATTCCAAGGAACAGATATTGGTCTGGGTTAGCTTTCCAGGTTAGTCTGTCCTTCATTTCAAATGGGGGGGTTTCTTTAACTTTACTTTTTTGTCTTTCACTTTGACTACCTCCGTGTCAGAACTAACATCCTGTAACTGACAGATAAAAACCTTTTGAAGTCTATTAACTTAATAAATTATTAGCTTCCACCAATCCAAAAGCATAAACGTCATTAGGTAGAATCGTAGGCCTATAGACAAGCTTCCACCATCTTGCTGTAGCTGCCTCAATGATGTACCCACCATTGTACTTTAAACTTGCCTTGATTATGAATGTCCTTGTTCTGAAAAACTGTTTAACTTCATGAAATGACTTCCAGGATGGAGCATGGTTTTTAGGGTAACCCAAATGTGGTTTCCCAGGTCCTGGTCATTTAAAATGACCCCAGAAAAAAACACATCTCTTGTTCTCTTCAAAGTGAGAGCTGTGTTTTTTGTATTGACATTTATTTTGTTTTGATTTTTATTGTGGAATGGTAAGAGCCCACTGACGCATGGCTCTAGTCAGTACTCTTGAGATAGGTGACCTGTTAGTAGCAGTCATAATTTTAAGGTTTTAAATATTTAGTATATGCAGAAGAATTGAGTTTTCTCAGAACTCAGGGGAATCATGGTAGAACCCCTGCAGAACCCCAGTTCATCCTGTAGAGCTGTTGTACCTGGCCTCAAAGCCAACATCACAGGCCAGAAGAGGATGTTGGATCTCATTGATGTGGAGTTATGGTTATGGGCTGCTATGTGGGTCCTGGGAGTGGAACCCAAGTCCTCTGGAAGAGCAGCTAGTGCTGTTAATCACTGAGCCATCTCTCCAGCCTGGCATGGAATATCTTTTGAATTGAAGTACCTTACTAACCAAACAGCATTTACTCTGGAGCCAGTGAAAGGTTGTCAGGTTTGTGGTCTTTCTGGAGATCCTGTTACCAGTTATTGATGCCAGGTGTCAGCCGGGCACTTGGACTTGTTCCAACATTTAGAGAGGCTGCTGGGGAAACAGGTGGCGCCTATATTATTTACTCTGGGATCCTCTCTCCTCTCTACTTCTCCTTCCTTTCCTTTTCTTGCCCTCTCCCCTCAAGCCTGTAAACAACAGAATCTAACTCCTTAGTGTCTGGCTTGAATACACAGTCCCTGGAGATTACTGTCACTCTTCCCCTCTCCTCATCTGCTGGCAGAGCTCGGCTGTAGCATTGCAGCTCTGCAGCCGGCTTCAAGAGTACCTTGCACACCTTTTCTTAAAAAAAAAAAAAGTTGATGCTTTCCATGCCAGACTGCAGTCTATTGTTCACTCTGACAGTGGCTAATCTATTTTTCATTCCAGGGAAACCAGCACTCTCTTCCTTTCAGCAAGGCGTTGAGATGCTAATTCCTATTGTCATCTCACTTAGCTCCTGGGGAAGCCAGCACTAGTCTCCCTCTTTTCCTCTGCTCAATCTGAAGCCTCTGGTGCCTCCTTTCCCAGGGTGCCTTGCAGGCTTCGCTGCTTTGGAAAGCTTTCCCTGATCAACTACTCTCCAGTGTGTGCACTACTCTGACACTTGTAACCTTTTAGAGCCCTCTTATACACTCGCTAAGAAAACAGGCTCTATAAGCTACAGCAACAGAATTCATAGAGTCTGAGACTCTCCTTGTGGAGGACACACAAGGGAGCTCCCCGGGGACAGCTCACCAAGTGGAGTGGAGTGTAGACTGTAAAGCCCAGGGTGTTTCCTAGCAGGCCAGTCTCTTCCTGCAGGATCATGGACTCCCCTGCCTCCATTCCCATTCTATGTGCCTCTGCCTGTAGAGCACTCATTGACAATAAAGAGAAGAGTCCCCATGGACAAGAAGACAAATGGATATTTGTCTAATTATCCCCTCGAAAAAAGAATATTCTGGGCCTGACCCCATGTTGGACACTATACTGTGCACAGGGACAGAGACCTGCCCCACCCAGAACCTGGACTTGGGAGACAGGCACAGAATAAGCCTAGAGAAGTGAGGGTAGCCGAAGACTGCCTCAAGGAGTTGCCTTATACAGGAGGAAGATAAGATGAGGCATGAAGACTCCAGTGTAGTCAGTGACAAAACTGAATATTCCTTTTTTCCAAAGAAACTGTACATTAGTCTTCCAAATCAGAGCCCAGCTTGTCACAGATTCATTCTGTGACTGGCATGTTCAGTGTGTGACTCTGTTGGCCTCAGTATGTCTCTGATGTAGGTTTGGTATTTGATGTTCTCTAGAAGGAGACCTGGACCAGCTGTGACAGGGTTCAGGGCTCTCCTGTCACTAAGGGTATCAATTGTTTCCATGGCATCCAGATGGAAGTACCATATTACACCATCTTTGTATAATGGCAGTCTTTTCTTGAATGCTGTAGGTTCCTATAAAGAATGGAGGCCTCTGAATATGACTCCTAAAGTCCTGGGACACGTACCTTATCATATCCATGTTATCATGTCACTAGCCCATCTATGTCCTTACCCTATCTTCCAAGGAGTAAAGTTGCCATTCTTTTGTGTATGCACTTCTAACCCTCTCCACATCTAGGTCCCAGAGTACATGGGCATCTCTTTGGAGCTCTCTTCTCTGTTCCATGCTTCCTGGCAGGACTTAAACAATGTCTAGAGTGCCACTGAGATACAACTTCATGGAGTAGGGACTGACAGTCAGACCTAAAACTGAGCTTCTATGAATTGGCAAATTAGTGTGACTCTAAAGCCATACATCCAGCTATTAGACCCCTACCTGCACACAGTCCCTCACTTTTGGTTTCTCTCTGCTTCCATGTCTACCTCATGCCCCCACTGTCACACTTTACTTGCCATGGTGGCTGTGCCTTCAAACAGTGAGCCAAAATAGATCCTCTTCAAGATGCTACTTGTTAGATATTTGGTTACAGAGATTTGGTCACAGTAACTAACACAGGAAGTCAGGACCACCCATTATTTGTATAGATCTCTCTGGCCTTGCAAATACCAGAATGGAATACATCTAATGGCATCATGGTCTGTGGTAGCAAACCCAGATGATATGAGCCAGGGATACTGAGATATAAGCACCATCAAGTTAACTGAACTGTGAGGAAGCAGGAGGCTATTAGGACATGGCGTATGTATCAGTGGAGCCCTGGAACATGGATGTGAAGAGGGTAAGAAGTGAAAGGCACACATGGAACAGCACAGCTTTGCTCTTTGGAGGACAGGGGTGAGGCTAGTAAACAAAACGTAGATACGATGGGCGTCACAGTGCTTCAGGAGTCATATCTGGAGGTCTCACTCTCTTTAAGAACCCACAGGATTCAAGAAAAGGAAGTCCGCGTACAAAAAGCTGTAGTATTCTAAGTCAGAGACACTGAAACATAAGTACCAGTCAGTCAGCTGAAGTGCACAGTAGCAGGAGGGGTTATGCAGTCAAATAAAGAAGAGAGCTTTGGGCGTAAGAGGGGGTGGTGAGTTTCATTAGAGTTTTGACAGCATGCTCTTATTTCTATTCAACTGTAAAACTCAGAAAATGCTTCTTGAGCTCCCACTGTACAAGTTCTTGAGACACTGGCATCATTATGCTAGGGAACACTGCTTATTATAAAGGGCCTGGGCTGCACTGTGAATCTGCAAAGGCTACAAGGTCTTTCCCAGCAATGTCTGGCTGCTCCCCAACACCAGCAGTATTGAAACCAGCCATGGCAACCTCAGTCCTCAATGAGAAGTCACATAGAAGAGCCACAGGACATGTTAGACAGTGGTTCTCACTTTGGGTGTCAAATGATCCTTTTATATAGGGGTCACCTTATACCATCAAAAATATCAGGTCTTTACAATTCCAATTCATAACTGGCAAAATTGCAGTCATGAAGTAGCAACAAAAATAATTTTATGGTTGGGAATTAGCATGGCATGGGAACTGTATGAAAGGGTGGCAGCATTAGAAAGGTTGAGAACCACTGTGATAGGAGTAACCACTCCTTCATCCAGATCCTTAACTCATTCTTCCAGCCCTTGGCTGCTTACAATGTTCCAGGGCCCAGAGAATGCTTTGACTTAGCAAAGACTCATTTACAAATGCCACCACAATATGTCCTGGTCTACTCAGACTTTTGTTCTGCTGGTATCTCTGCAAATCTCCCATGTGACCTGTTTAGGTCATGTCCTGTCTATAAACAATCTGTGATGGGAAATGTCATT